TTTGTGCCTTCACAGGATATGTACTATGAAGGAACATCAAGAAAATTATAAGACAAAGTGAATTTATGATCTCAAACACAGATTTTTGCACATGACTTTGAATTGGGGGAGATGGTCAGGAAGAGGAGGATTGGTAACTTCCCACATCCAGGAGCAAGGTGCTGTGGTGTGGCTGTGATAGGGTTATCCTTAGCTATAGAAAGGAATCAGAAAGTTAAGATCTAAACAAAAGTCTACTAGGCCTAGGAGAAATGAGGCAGCAGAACTGGAAGGATCACGCTTCTTTCGGTGTAGTTTGCTTTTCTTCTGGATCTGTAGGCTTGTCTGTCTGCGGCTCATGAATTAACCTCGTTCAGTCAGCTCACTTTTTCAGCTGTCTTAACCACTGCTTCCTGCACAATTGATTCAAATCAACTGCATAGTCAATTCAATCTCTCATTAAAACTGGCTGAAAACAATGAATTAGACTTCTTTCTCTACTTGTGTCTTGCTAGCCTGGAGCTGGGGTCATGGTATCTTAGCCCAGAGTCTTCACATTGAATGTTCTGAATCTTGAGCAAGGTTGTAGGTGGGGCATTAGGGGGCAGATGTACAGACATTGTGAACTTGAGGCAGAGGAGGGAAGGAACATGAAGACAGGGAGCGACATCACCAGGGAGCAGTGTCAAGTCTAGGAATATCTGAAAAATATGTGCATAGTTGCACTGCTAAAACAATAATGGATCCTGCTAGCCTCATGTATCAAAGGCAACATGATTTATAAGCATACATTTTATAGCTGAAAATATATCTTGCCCACACAAGGTGAGCCCAGCTCATATGATGAACCCATACACCCATGTATAAGCAAGAATTAGGGCAAAAAAAACCAAGGCAGGGCCAAGATGGTCCTGTCCTTACCTCCTTCTCCCTATGCTCTCTGAAATCTCTCTACAGTTTCCTAGCTTTCCCTTCACATACTTTTTTTAAACTCAAAGGAAAAGGAAAACACACAAGGCTAAGACCTTCAATTCAAGGCATTTTTTTTCCCACTTTTCCTTCCAACTATTCTATTTGAAGCAAAACAAGCTGACTCTAGATCAATTTATTATGTTGAACTCGTAGTACATCAAAACACAAAGTGTCTGAAGGGGTTTGACAATTCATTGCCCAGGAAGCTAGAAAGAGTTCCTTACCAAATCAGTCAGCAAAGGGGTCCTGCTCCTGCAGTTACATGGCCTAGAAAGAAAAACAGAACTCTGGGATTGTAATTAATTTCTGGAGGAAGAAAAGGTGGCACGAAGTATTCCCTTGACTTCCTCTAGAAATAAGCAGAAGAACTCAAAGATGAAGGGCTCTGTTGGCGAGCTGCTTCCTAGCTCCTTTCCTTTTCCTGATGACATCCACTCAGACTTTGCTTCCCACAATGCTAAGCATCCCTTCCCCTGCCCACCTTCCTCCATCCCTTCCATGCCTCTGCAGGCAGTGGGAGGCCCCTGACTTCACCAACTGTGTTTGTAGCATCCTAATAGCTTCCTGACCCATCTGTTAATTAGCCGTTAAAAAAAGAAGAAGCCACAGAATTCCTCCCTCATAATGATTCTCATCTCCAAGACACTAATGAATCAACTCAGGGCCAGGAGGAAAGAACAGGTTTGGATGTGAAACAGCTCTCAGGGAATAGAATGTCAAAAGGAGGCTGCTTCCTGGCCCTTTCCTAGGCTTAGCCCACATTCCCTCTCCTTCGTGGAGACAGCACAGCCCTTAGCTAAGTAGAAAACTCCAAAGAAGCATGGCAGAGCCACTGAATAAACACTGAAGCTGGCACATGCCTACCGTCAGTCAGCTCGCACTTGGGCCTGAGCAGTTTGTAAAGGAGGGTAAAAGTAGCAATCCTGGTGGGAAAAGGAGTGCTCATCAGGAGAGGCTGGCTGCCCACATGCAGAGAACAGCTCTGCCTTTGGTCCCTTTCCCTCTCTTTCTTCTCAGTGGGGTCCTACTGGTGGGATCTGACCTCGTGGTCATCTGCTAAAATCATTGGGAGTTGCTGATTTCCCCTGCAGAAACTGACTTCTCATTACTCAACAGGACAGCAAGGTCTAAATGCTTCTGGAAAAAATTAAGATCTTTCCTGTAGGGGATGGAAGGAAGTTCTGCCCAAGAAACGCGTGCTCAAGGCAGAGGCCACAGAGCTGGGAGCACAGAGGCAAAGCAGATGACTCACCCATTCTTTCACCCCCTTTAAACTACCACAAATATCCTTTTCAATAAGGTCATTCTCACTGAAAGTCCCCAGACTCAGGTCTGCTTGTTCAAGTGGCATCTTCCGGGAGGATCACCCACCAGAATATCTACTTCCTTTTCAGCAAAGAAAAGTCTCTAACTAAAAGCATATCTTACTTCTCCTTTTAACCTCTTACAGTGCCCATCTTTCTGTCCCCCCACTCCTCTAGGGAAAACTCACTGTGAGTGAAGGTTTATCTCCTTCATCACTCCATTTTCCCTGCATCAGTTCCCCACTATGGGGCATAAACACGTACCAATAATGCCAAGCAGCAACCTCAGAGATGTGAACAGGTGGAGCAGCCCCACATGCCCACCCAGGAGTTGTAGTGATAGGAACTCACTCTGACATGAGAGGAGATGGGACAAGGCTATGTTCCAAGTATCAAGTTTGAAAATGAAGCTCCTCAGACCTGCCCAATGTCATCTGCAGAGCATCCTAGATGGCTCTCAGGCTCTATCCTCCTGTCTCCCCCCACCTCCAGCCAGCCTGCCTCACATATACAGTCCAGCATTATCTCCTTCCAACCAGCCTTGGTATGATGGTTCCCAAAACACTGATCAGGCAAGACTTCAGATGTCAGAAGAGGATCTGTGAACTGAATAAAATCAGAAGATAAACTTGAGGGAGAAACACCCCATACTTATATAATGATTTGAAGGCCTAAAATTCACCTCTTTTCCCAAGGCTGCCTTACTTCCCCAGCCTCAGGAAGAAACTACCCCCAGGATATCACCATAATTGTCTTTGTGATAGGGGTATCTGGGGAGTAAAGAGGGAAGAATCATCCAGAGGAACAGTGACTTATCCAGGGTCACATGCCAATGCCTCAATCCGAAGATGTTTGTGTGCAGCAACTGAGATCCTCATTGCATTGTAAGAAATGACGAATAAACTCCGTGAGAGTCTGCAGGGTAAGGGGAACAGGCAGCTTTGTCTGCGAGTGCACAGAACAATGGCTCAGGGAGGAGATGACACTGAAGGAACATTTGTGGACATCAACCAGCAAGAGAAAAAGGCTTGATAAGAGAAGCACAGGGAGAGGAAAGAAGAGACAAGTCTACAAGTACTGAGGTAGACATGGAGGGATGAGGTGGATAGCACATCTGCTATGGGAAGGCCCATATGCAATTCTTTTTCTGTTTCTCAAGCTGAACCAAGAGAACGCCTTTTTCAGACAAGACTCAAAGGAGGGCATATCATCTCCTTATTTTACTCATTGTCCTTCCTTTCCTTCTGCATTTGAGAGCCAGGACTGATTACAGACTACTGTTCGGAATGGTCCTATCCATACCAATGGCCAGTCCAGACACAAAGAGAATACTGAGTAAAGCGGAGTTACCTGAGAGATAAGGTGGGGGAGAGAAAGAAGTTGGTGGCAAGCTCTGGTGATGAGAGTTATAAATGGGTGCTCCCTTTGGAGTCACCCTAATTCCAGCGCTTCAGTTTAGAGTACCCACACTTTATGCATTTGACTCAACAAAACCTGCCAGAGAGTATCATCTTTTCTCAACACCCACAGTATCAAGCTGGTAAAAAAAAAAATCTCAGCTCTTTCAACATGGCTGGAAATTTCTATTTGGCTTCCTTTCTCTTCAATAAGGTAGGAGTGATTAATGTCCACAGCATTGAAGGAAGGAGGTTTTCAGGCCATGAGAATAACAAACAAGGTATAGAAATGAACTAGAGGTAGATGAGTCAGAACAGGGTCTGGTGGGCCAACTCAGAAGCAGAAACATTGGGGGTGTGGGGTTTCCTGGATACTAGGGTAGAACCGACATCATGCAGTGGAAAAGGAGGCATTTGCTGTGGCAGGATTTCCAGGATCCCCAGAAGGACCATGTGGAACCACATCCAACCAGTCAATTCCATGAACACATTGGCAACAGTGCTAACTTTGCATCCCCTGGGGTCTAGGCTATTGCAGGAAAGGCAAAACTCCTGTCATCCCCTGTTTTGATGTCCCCATGGGTCATGTAGGAGCCAGAGCCATGGGTGAGATGCGGTCCAAGAAGAGCCATGGTGCCATGGGCTGCCATTTTTTGAGTTGTTGGCCTAAGCTTTGGTGGGAGGCAGTCACTACTGTCTCTCCCAGGTGTACCGTGAAAGATACACACCAAGTTGCACATGGCAAGAACTGTTAAGTCAGTGAGTTCTGCCTGCAGGGCTTAAAAGAACAAGTCCTCCAGTCTCAGCAGGGAAGAGAAGCATCCCACTCGAAGACACACCATCTGTGCTTGGTCAACATGAAATGGAAAAATCTTTATTTCTTCTTCCCAGCAAAGGCAGCTTTTCCCTAGTGCCCTATTTCTCAGGCCTCAGACCATCCCAGTGTACCTTAATCTAAAAGACTTGATCCTTTTCCCACTAAGAGTCCAGCATTGTTCAAACCCGACCGAAGATGACACTTTGGATTTACTCAGACAACTAAATGCCCTGAAAGCCTAAATCAAAGCATCCACAGATCGTGAAAACGGAGCCAGAATTAGTAAAATTCTTATACTTGAACTTCATGGACTCCACTGTTTCTTTCATTGACTTTTAAATACCATCACCACCAAAGCGTGAATTTTTGGTTCTCAGGGAATGGAAAAGACTGTAAATGTATTGTTATGTGAAAGAAGTGACAGTGAAAGTGATCAGGAGGATACATGGGTGCCGGTGGAGAGGACCAGGGATGCACAGTAAAAGGAGTGAGGCCACGGGAGACTGGGACAGGGACGGAAGCGTGTCTCACCTGTGAATGTTCATCTCCCGTGGAGGACGGTGGGCCTTGTCATAGGAGACCTTGGCAAAGACGCCGGCCACGATGACGAAGGCGATCACCCCACAGGTGATGTACACGGTGAAGTTGGTCTTGTCCTTCTCCGGGTCGTACTTGTTCTCGGGGCCGGGCGACACCACCTTGGTGCTGGGCGTCTGTACCCACACGGGGCTCTGGTAGTTGGTGCACTGGCGCTGGTCCAGCTTCTCATGGCGCTTCTTGCAGCAGAAACGGTAGTAGCAGGTGCCGCAGCAGTACAGGTAGCCACTCTCGCTGTTGTTGCACTCGAACTCCTTGTCGTACTGGCCGCTCACGTCGTAGTAACCCCAGCACGTCTCGTAGGTGACGGTCGCGCTGGCCGCAGCCGCTACAGCTGCCGCGGGCTGTCCCCGCCGGCTCCCCGCCTCCGGGACCCGGGCGGTGCCGTTCAGCTCGCGGCCGCCCCGGGCTAGGGCGCCCCCGGGGCGCCG